CAATGGCGCGACCTCCTCTACAAGATCGTGGTCGTGGTGCTGCTGGTGGCCTGCGGCTCCGGCATGACCCTCCTGCTCAAGGTGCAGGATGAGACCTGCGTGGAGAACTGCCACATCACCGACGGCAGCGAGTCCCAGGGCAACAGCTTCCACGGCTGGTTCTCCGAGGCGGCCGTGGTGGCCGTCGCCCCGGCCACCGCCGAGTACAAGCAGTACGAGGCTTCGGTGTCGGCCGCGGCCGCCGCGGCCGCCGTCCACCCGGCCTACATGCCGCAGATGGTCCGCGTCCGCCCGACCGTCGTCTACAGCGATGAGGCCGCCCGCGCGTCCATCAGCAAGAGCATCTACACCCAGGTCGCGTCGTCTGGCGCCCGCCGGGTCTCCGTCCACGGCTCGGTCGCTGCCATGGCCGCCGCCTCCGGGTCTGCCTCGGCCCCCGGCTCTGGCTCGGCCCCCGGCTCTGGCTCCACCCCCGGCTCCACCCCCGGCTCTGGCTCGGCCCCCGGCTCCACCCCCGGCTCCGGCTCCACCCCCGGCTCCGGCTCCGGCTCCACCCCGGAGGACTTGACCCCGGTGCACTTCCACCAGCCCTTCATCCAGCTCTTCCAGATGGGCCTCGGCCAGCTGTCCTGCGTGTTCTTCCTGCGGTTCTTCCGCCACCGCCCGCGCGAGGGCGAGCGCTACCGGCCGCCTCCCCCGATGGCCGACATCATCCCCTCGGCCGTGGCGGCCTCCCTGTTCGATGTGTTCGCCGAGCTGTTCATCATCTTCGCCCTGACCCTGGCGGCCGCCTCGACCACCGAAATGATGAAGGGTACCCTGGTGGTCTTCTGCGGGCTCTTCTCCATGTACTTCTTCCAGGGCTTCCGGCTGAACAACCGCCAGTGGATCTCGACCGTGGTCATGCTGACCGGTGCCTCGGTGGTCATCATGCGCCAGTACATCTTCGCCAGTGCCGATTCCAATGCCCTGGAGGAGGTGATCGGCGCGCTGCTGGCCCTGCTGTCGCAGCTTTGCTACGCCGGGCAGTTCATCGTCGAGGAGCGCCTGGTGGACATCTCCACCCTGCGCGGGCAGCATGTCAACAAGGGGTTCATCGTCTTCTGGGAGGGTGTCGTGTCCATGCTCATGGCCACCACCCTGCAGATCATCTGGTGCCTGGTGCCCTTCGGCCCGACCTGGGGCCAGTTCGGCGACGAGGTCAAGCGGTACTTCTCCATCCCCCGGCTCTGGGCGTCGGGTATCGGCCTGTCGCTGGCCGTCGGCGGGTATGACCTGTTCGGGCTGCAGGCCTCCGAGTCGCTGGGGTCCGATCGTCGTGCGGTGCTGACCGCCTCCTTCCAGGTGGTGGTTGTCTGGTCCATTTCCCTGATGACCGGCATGGAGCGCCTCGTCTGGCCGGAGGACCTGCTGGCGGTGGCCGGGTTCGTGACCATCCTCTGCTCCGGCCTGGCCTACACCTGGACCTCGGATGCCAAGAGCGCCCCGCGTGTCATCAGCGGCGTCACCTGCGAGAACAGCATGAATGCCCCGGATGCCGAGGGCAATGGCGATGCCGCCACGGGTGGCAGTGGCTCCGGCTCCGGCGGTGCCGGTGGCAACAACGCCGACGACCTGGAGGCCGGCCCGGCTGCCGGTGCGGCCCTGCTCCAGAGCGCCCCGACCAATGCCTCGGAGGAGGCGGCCCAGCTGCGCGCGGCCCTCGACGCCTCGGCCCTGGCCGGTGCCAGCCCCTACTCCGGCGACCCGAATGCCGCCGCCCCGGGCGCCGGCGCCTACTCCGGTGCCGACGAGCATGACATGTACAAGGTGGCCGATGAGTCCGAGCCGCTGGTCTACTCGTCGGAGACCGCCGACCCGTACTACATGTCCGGCGATGGGTCGACCGCCGCCGGTGGCCTGTCCAGCACTTCGCTGGCTGGCGGCAGCGGCTACGGCGCCATCAACTGAGGGGCGAGGCGAACAGGGGGGGTGGTGGGGCGAGAGGAGAAGGGGCCGGGAGGGCGTGTTTCGCCTTCGTCGCTTTCCCTCTTTTTTCTCCTCCCCCCCCCCCCCCCCCCCCGGGGGGGGGGGGGGGGGGCGTGCGCCGCGGTGTGAACGCTTCTCTCTTCGGGGCCCGGGGAGGGAGGGGGGGAGGGTGAGGGTGGGTCATGGGGTGCCAGGCGCGTGGGGGTCTCCCCCCCCCCCCCGTGTCTCTCCGTCTCCCGCTCTCGCTCTCGGTCCCGGTCCTCTTTGGTGCCTTCTCCTCCCGCGCGCTCCCCCGCCCCCCCCCCCCATCCCTCCCTCGATCGGTGTGCCTGGTTTTGCATGCACCTGTGCATGGGTGCCTCCTCCCGCGTCTCCTCCTCTCTCCCCTTGTGTGCCGCATGTGGGGATGTGTGTGCGTCCCCGCCCGGGTTCGCGCCCGCGGCTCCTCCCCCTCTCCCCCTTTGCACTTGCGCGCATCCCCCTTGTGCGCGTGCGCTGCCCTTCCCCCCCCCCCCCTCCAACAATACAACTATAATTTGCCTTCCCTCTCCCGCCCTGTGGCGGTGTGCGGGCGTGTATGCGGCTCGATTTTGTCGCGTCGCTCTCTTCCGTGAGGCTCCCGTGTGCGGGCCCTGGCGCGTGTGTCGGGCGCGGCGGCCGAGGGGGGGGCGGGGGCCTGTGTGTGTGTGTGTGTGCTGCTCTCGGCGGGGCGGGGGCGGTATGGCCCCCTCGGGGTGGTTGGCATCGCGCTCCGCTGCGGGGCGGGGGGTTCCCACGCGAGCTCCTCGTCTGACTGGCTCTGCGCCGGGTGCCACCTTCGTGGTGCCGATGCTGGTGTCTCGTTCGCGCCCCCTCCCCCAGCCGCCTTTTTTTTTTTTTTTTTTTTTTCTTGCGAGCGGCTTGTCGAGTGTGTCTGCCCCTCTCTCGCTGTCCCCCGCGATGTGGGTGTCCTCCGTGTGCCCCTTCGTTCCCTTCCGGCCGAGGTGGGTGCACTCTGTGGCGCCAGGGCGCACATGTGTCGGATGGGCTTGCTTTGTCGGCTGTCCATTGCTGCTGCTGCTGCTGCTGCTGCTGCTGCTGCTGCTGCTGCTGCTGCTGCTGCTGCTGCTGTTTGTCCCTGTCCCTGTCATGCCTGTTACTCCTCCTCCTCCTCCCCTCTCTCCCCCCCCCCCCCGCCCCCACATCGGCTACGCACGCACAGGCGAAGGGCTTGATGTCTGCCTTTCCCCGTCCCCCGCTCCCCTCCTTCCTCGCTCCCCCCCCTGTCGTCCGGTGCGCGCGCCGAGCCAGCACAGCCCTCCGCACACATACTTACACACACACGATACCAGCAAACACTCTCGGCGGAAAAAAAAGGACCGAAGGTAACATATTGGAAAGAGACATAGCTGCCAAAAGGGGCCACCCGCTCGTCCCTCCGCGTGAGGAGCCGAGCGCGGCGGAGGGGGGAAACATACAAGCCGAACAAAAACAGAGGCCCGCACACACACGCGCTGATGGGCAGGGGGGCTTCTTCTCGAATGGGGGACGTGCGCACACATGCGCCGGGGCTCACAGCAGCGACACCAGCAGGGCGGCCACGCTGGCGGCGCCGGCCACCAGGAGGGCGGAGTTGCGCCCGGCCCGGGTACCCGGAGCCGCGGCATTGCAATCGAAGGGGCCGCCGCCGGCCTGGGCCGCCTGCGTGGCGGTCGGGACCTGGGCCCCGAAGGAGTTGTGATCCAGCACCGAGCACCCGCCACGCAGGGTGGTCATGTAGGCGGCGCAGGTGGCCCGGGGGATCATGCCACTGGCCACCTGGCAGTTCCAGGTGTCGTACTGGGCCAGGGTGCAGGGCTTGCTGCAGGCGCGGGCCATGTCCGTGGCCTTGAGGGCGGCCCCGAGGCCCCCGGAGCCATTGGCCCCGAAGGTCCCATCGCACGCCGGCGAGGACATCAGCTCATTCCGGGCGCGCTGGGCCTCCGGGCTGCAGCCGCGGCGCTTGCGCTCGGCCGTGTTCTCCCCGAAGGAGATGGAGATCCCGCCGGCGCTGAATTCCAGGGCGGCCGCCGTGCGCAGCAGGCAGACAGCCAGGAGGACCAGAGCGGCTGCGTCGGAGCCGAGGCCGGGGGGATGCGCGTGTCGATGGGGGGGCGAGGGGTCGCACGAGGCGGCCGAGCCGACCCCCGGTCCGGCGATGCGTGATCGTGCGATGGCGCGACCGCGTGCGTGCATGTGTGCGTGTGTGAGCGAGCGAGCGAGCGAGCGAGCGAGAGCAGGCTGCCAGGCCGGACGGCGCCCCGCCGAGCACTGGCAGCAGGGCCCCGGGACAGAGGGCAGCGCCGGGGGGCGGTGATGGGCCGGCGGCCGGCGGCCACGGCAGGGACAACGTACCGGCGCGACGAACCGACATGGCGAGGGGACCCATGGTGTTGGTGGTCGGGAGGGAAAAGGGCAGGCCGAGAGGGAGGGAGGGCGGGGGACGGCGAGCGGACGGCGAGGCGCGGCGTGGCAGGAGACACGAGCGGCGCAGGGTGCAGGACGAGGGGCGGGTCAGGCGGCGGGAGGACGTTTGTCTTGGATGAAGCAGGACCCTTGCCCTTGTGTCGAGGCGAGGGGGCTTAAATAGGCCGGGCCGGGGCCCGGGCCGGGCCAAACGCCCACCGGCCTGGCGCCGGCCTGGCGCCGGCCTGGCGCCGGGTTCAGTGCGGGCCTGGCCGGCGGTCGGCGGTTTCGAGGTGGCCGGCGGTGGCCGGCCGGCCACCCGGTGGCCGGTCCCGACTGGCAGCCGGCCCGCCGGCGAAGAAGCCACCCGCGCACCTTGGCCCGGGCCCGGGCTCGGGCTTGGCACCGGTGTATCGCCCAGGAGACAGGAGGCGGCCGAGCCGGGCCCGGCCGCGTGGATCCCGCCGCCGGCCCCGGCAGCCGCGGTGGCGATGGCCTGGCCGCGCCCCCGGGGGTGCAGCCCGTCCAGGCAAGAGCCTCCCTCCGCGCCACGGGCAGGCGGGCGGAGGGAGGCCACCCGTCCCCACCTATACGCACATACGCGCGTGCGCGCACGCGCCAGGGGGGGGGGGGGGGAGCAGCCGCCCAGCCCACCCCGGCCGCGATCGGACGCCGGGGACGCAGGCACGAGCTCGCGCCCGGGCCCCGGATGCCCCCTCGGCGCCGGCCTGCGCGCCTGCTCCCGGCCGTCCCCGCGCTTCCCCCGGACAACGCGCGCACAGTGCGCGCACGGCGGCCGGCGACCGGCGCATATCTTGCCCCCGGAGCCCCGCGCGGCCAGCCCACAATCGCCCGCAGGTGCCAGCGCACAGGCCCGGCGGGATGGTGGCCCCCGGCCCGGGCACCATGCCGCCTGCCAACGGGGCGTTTGGCCTCCTCCGGGGCCCCGGGGGGCGGGGCAGGGTGTTTCGCGCAGGCCCCTCTGCCCCGACCCGGCCTATCGCCCCCCCGCGCGCGCGCGCGCGCGGGCGTGTCGCACGACAGCCGGCAGACCGCCGTGCCCCGTGCCCAGGGGAGGGGGGTGGGAGGGCGCTCGGGAAGGCGCGCCGGCGCAGGAGGCGCCCCACCGGCGGCGGGGCTCTCTGGAGAGGGTGTGTCTATTGTTTGTACGCACACGCACGCGCGAGATGCGGCGCGGGCGGACGGCAAGGAGAGAGAGAGAGAGGGAGAGAGGGAGAGGGAGAGGGAGAGGGAGAGCAAGCCAGAGAGGAGCAGGGATGGAGGAGGGGAAGGGCGCGCGCGCGCGCGACCATGGCCCCGGCCGTGCAACGGGATGAGATGGTACAGGGGCACGGACTGGCGCGGCCGCGCGCGCGCGCGCGCGCGCGTGACCACACGAGGTGGCACCTTTTCTCTTCGCCCCAGCCGCGCACACGTCGGCTGGCTTTTCTCCGGGCAGCGCGCGCGCGCGCGCGCCCGACGGCGCTCGGCGCCATGCGCGCCCGGCCTGGGCTCACAGGCTGGCGATGGCCTCCTCGGAGGTGATGAACTTCGGCGCGCGGGTGGAGATGGTGTGCGCCACCACGCGATCCCCGGGCTGCAGCTCGAACTCCGTGTCCTGGCGCAGGGTCAGGCCGAACTCCTGGCCATTGGCCACGGTCTTCACGTCGTCCTTCAGGTGCCGCAGCGACAGGATGCCGCCCTCGTGGATGAGCTCCTTGCCGCGGTACACCCGGACGCGCGAGTCGCGCGTCATGCGGCCGGTGGCCAGCTTACAGCCGATGACCGTGACCGGGCGCTTGCCGAGGTGCGTGACGAACAGCTGCTGCACCATGGCCTCGCCCTGCTCCTCCTCATACTCCTCGGGCTCCAGGGAATGGCTCATGGTCTCGCGCAGCTCCTCCAGCAGGTGGTACACCACCCGCGAGTCGAAGATCCGGACGCCGGCCAGCTTGGCCTCCTGCTGGGCGGTCTTGGAGACGGGGATGTTGAAGGCCACGATGTGGGCTGTGTGTGTGCGCGCGCGCGAGTCGATCGGGGCGTGGGTCAGTCACGATGGCGGCATGCACAAGATGGGCTTGTGTGTGTGTGTGCGCGCGCGCGCGCGCGAATGCACGGGCGCGCAGGCATGCGCAGGGAGGGGGGAGATGGCGCGCTGCTGCCCGCCGGGGGACACGTACACTTGGTCGTGGCGGCCTGGTAGATGTCCGACGAGCGGATCTCGCCGACCGTCTGATCCAGCACCTTCAAGTGCAGCTGGTCGTTCTTCAGCACCGGCAGCAGCTCGGCCAGGGCCTCGACAGTGCCCTGGACATCGCCGCGGATGATCACATTGAAGTGCCGCGGGCCAGCTTCCTCCGGGCCCTGCTCCATCATGTTGGTACTGCGCGAGCGGGCGGGCGGGCGGGCGGGCGGGCGGGCGGGCGGGCGGGCGGGCGGGCGGGAGCGGGGAGGAGGTCAGCTCGTTGGTGCGACTGCATGCGTGCACGGGTCATCCAGCGGCCGGAGGCATGGAGACACCGCACGAGGGGAGGGAAGCGGGCAAAAAAGAAGAAAGAAAGAGGCCACATGCGCGCATGGCACCCCCCCCCCCCCCCCACCCCCGGGCGCAAAAAGCACGCACATGTCGTCGAGCTTGTCCCGGACTGCAGCGCGGTGGCGGTTGCGCCGGCGCTTCTCGCGGTCGTGCTCCTCCTTCTCGCGGGCCAGGGCGGCGGCGGTCTCGGCGGCCAGGGCCGCCTCGCGCGTCATCTCCGTCATGCCAGACTCGTAGCCCGTGCGGTTGAGGGCTTCATGAATGGCCCGGGCAGCCTGCTCCGAGGGGGCCTCATTGACGATGTCACCGGCGTGCGGGAGCTCCCGCCAGCCGGACACCTCGACCGGCATGCCGGGCGGGATGAAGGTGAAGTTCGGGTCATTGGACAGGACGACGCCATGCTCGTTGGAGAGCTCGCGCACTCGGCCCCAGCCGGCTCCGGCCACCAGGCAGGACCCGATGCGCAGGAGCCCGGACTTCACCAGCACCGTGGCCACCAGGCCGCGGCCGCGGTCATACCGGCTTTCCAGGACGATGCCCTCCACCGGGCCGTCCTGCTCCGCGCGCAGGTCCATCATCATGGCCTGGGTGTTGATGGCGTCCAGCAGCCGGTCCAGCCCCTCCCGGCGCAGGGCCGACACCTCGCAGCTTTGGATGTCGCCGCCATACTCCTCGGTCTGGATGCCATGCGACAGGAGCTGCTGGCGGATCTGGTCCGGATTGGCGTCCGGCCGGTCGCACTTGTTGATGGCCACGATGATGGGGACTGGTGGTGGTGGTGGTGGTGGCGGTGGTGGTGGCGGTGGTGGTGGCGGTGGTGGTGGCGGTGGCGCAGCATGGCAAGGGTTAGACTTGGGGAGCGGGGACAAGGGAGGAGGGGCGGCGGCGGGGGGAGAGCACGGGTCGACACGCACCGCGGGCATTCTGCGCGTGGTTGATGGCCTCGACCGTTTGCCGGAGGACACCGTCATCGGCGGCCACCACCAGCACCACAATGTCGGTAACCGAGGCACCGCGCGAGCGCATGTTCGAGAAGGCCGCGTGACCGGGCGTGTCGATGAAGGTGACCCTCTCGCCAGTGGGCAGGGGAACTGCATGCGCGTGTTGGCGCGTGTGGGGGATGATGGAGAGCACGCGGCGGAGGGCCGACCACGGGGAGCGAAGAGAGAGCGGCAGGGTCAGCACGCGGCCGGAGAGCAAGGCAGAAGGCCACCACCGGGGGAGGGGGAGGGGGGGGGGGGGGGGAGAGGAAGAGCATCACACGCACCGGAGAAGGCGCCGATATGCTGGGTGATGCCGCCAGCTTCGCCGGCGGCCACGGACCCGGAGCGCAGCGAGTCCAGCAGGGTGGTCTTGCCATGGTCCACATGCCCCATGATGGTGACCACCGCCGGCCGCGGCAGGTACGTGGGCGAGTGGATGTCCAGCTCCTTGGGCTTGAGCAGGGCATACTCCTCCCCGTCGGAGTCCTCGACGTAGGGCATGACATACTTGATGTAGTAGTGGTCCAGCATGGAGGTGAAGGTGTCCAGGCAGAGGCCTGTCGGAGGGGAGGGAGGGAGGGAAGGGGGGGGGGGAGAATTGCGAGAGGGAGGGAGTGCGAGGGGTGTCAGTCCACGCCCGGGCAGCGGGCGAGGCAGCGAGCGGCGGCCGGGCTTCACCACGCACCCTGATCATTGAGCAGCTTATACCCATGGAAGGAGGCCAGGCGGACGAGGACCGCTATGTCGGGGGGAGGGGGAGGGGACAGACAGGGAAAAGTTAGCCCGGGGGAAGAGGGCGCCGCGCCAATCGCAAAGGCCAGGCATCCGCCACATACCGGGCGGGTACTTGGTGATCAGGAGGTTGTTCTCCTTGAAGGTGGTGGCAATGATCCACGGCCGGTCGCTGGGCACATCCAGCATGGCATCCTCGAAGAGCTCGCGCATGTGCTTGACATTGGCGATCATCTGGAGAACTCGCTTGCCGGCCGGGGTCTTGGCCTCACTGTCATCGGGGTGCGGCTCCTCCGTGAAGTAGGGATGCTCCACCAGCAGGCTGACGATGTACCGCTCGATGTCCTCGAAGATGTAGTGTGAGAAGTTGGGATTGACCTGGGCCGAGCAGAATTCCACTGCTCGGGCGGAGGGGGAATCGAGAAAGGCGGCGAGAGAGCAACCGGTCAGCTGGGCTACCAAGGGAGGAGCAGGACAGGGAGAGAGAGGGGGAGAGAGGGGGAGAGAGGGGGAGGGAGAGAAAGAGAAAAAGGGAGAGAAAGGGACAAAAAGAGAAAGGGACAAAAAGAGAAAGAGAGAGAGAAAGAGAGAGAGAGAGAGAGAGAGACAGGACGTGTCTCCCGCCGAGGCCCACGCACTGATGCTGTTGATGTACTGGGTCTTCTGGGCGGTGGTGGTCTGGGCACTGGAGCCGGCGGCCGTGGTGAAGAGCACACGCAGGGCGTCCGGCCGCTCCAGCGAGCTCGACGACACGCGATACCGGCTGAAGGGGTTCTGCGTGCGGCCCTTTTCCACATACCGCGACCGGGTGACGTCCAGGGTCCGGCCCTTTTGCAGGGAGAAGGGCGCATACCGGAACAGGTGGAAGGTGGCCGGGTTGATGGGGACACCGGCGCCGCCATCGCCGATGGTCAAGTCGTCGTCGGACTCGTCGCCGGGCGAAGACCGGTTCAGGCGGTCGGAGCCGGGGGCGTCCGCCGAGTCGTCGCCCGAGCCGGTCCCAAAGAGCCCGGAGAAGGAGCCCACCTTGCGAGTGGAGCCCACGACGAAGGAGGTCAAGCGGCTGCTGTTGACCAGCGCGGCCTCGACGGTGGCGGGGGAGGCCGTGGCCGGGGGCTCGGCCCCGGAGCGAGCGCTCCCGCGCTGGGGGACCGCCGGCAGGCCATCCTGCCGGGGGGGCTGACTGGTGCGCGGGCGTCCCCCGGCGGTGGGCGGGGTGAAAAGGCCGGTCGGCGCGCGGGGGCCACTGCTTCGCGGGGCCGGCGCCGTCGAGGTCGGCTTGCCGTCCCAGTTGAAGTGGGGGTTCTGCATGTTGGGATCCCGGCGGCGAGGGGGCCGGCGGTATGGCCGGTCGCCCTCCTCGTCGCCATCGCCATCACCATCGTCGAAGCCGCCCTCGAAGAAGTCGTCAAAGTCGCCTTCATCATCGTCTCGGGAGTTGAAGCTGCCCGCGGCGCGGAAGCCGCCGCGGTAGCTGTGTCGCGGGAGGGTCAGCTGCCGATCCGGGGTG